TGTGAGGAAAAGGAGAAGTAAAGACGTGGCATACACGTGAGCAACTAACGTGGTCTTAGCTTGGTGCCCGTTTATGTACACAATTCCTCACATACGAGGAGATCCATACTGAATATTTTATTTGCATAGACCTATCATGTGAGAAGGTTGTACATTTGTACAACACATACAAAGGAAATAATTTTATGATATTATCCTTCTTCAGTACAAGTTGACACGAACTTTGTTACTTGACATATAGTATAGAGGGTCGAAACTATGTCATCTAGGTTTACAAGCAATGACTCAATAACTCTCTTTCAATAGGTAGAGAACTGGATTTTCCCTCTACCTTTTTATTTTATGATGAATATAAGGTCCACTAGTAGTAGTACTAGGATGTATATATAACACATTGAAGATTAATCTGAGACTTGACATTTATTTGTTGTACATCAATGCTACATAGACTACAATTCTTAATTTGACTATCACGTAGATTGCAAGTCTGCAATTTTACATGACGTATTGGAGATTTTTTAGTCAGATCAATAGTCTAGCCAATTTTTACACATTAAGATAAATTTAATCAAGTCTAGTAGAATGGGAATCCTAACCCGTGTTTGGGCTCCATTAATTTCAAGATTTATTTTTCTCTCTTCTTTTCAATTACTCATTCTCCAATAAAATAATATTATAAGTAAATTTAAAAATTTTCATTCTTTTTTATTCATGCATTCTTAAAAAATTTACTATTACAAAATGCAGTTTTTCCTCAAAACTAATTATAAGGGAGCTCAAACAGGGCCTTAGTATCTAAAGTTGAAAGAAAAGAAAATAGTGACTAACTCAAAAAAAGAAAAAAAAAGTTCAAGGACTAAAATGAAGTAGTGCTATAAGTTGGTTGCCTAATAGAAATTTTAACCATAAAAGAAAAAAGAAATTAAAATTAAAATTTGTATAAATTCATTGAATCGTCTAGAGTGCGCAATTACATTTGCTTCGACGTAAGATAAGGTCCATGGATTGGAAGAGGAGGAGGTCCAATTTTCCAAGTGAGTCCCCACCATTTTGGAATTTATATTTGTCTTGATTTTCAATTGCAAGTTGTAGGTTAATTGAATCCACGTAATCTCCGTAAAATGTGTTATTTAACCATCTTCAATATGGTGGCATGGCCCCATTACAAGTAACTTTAGAACACGAAAATGAGGACGAGTGACATGAATATTTTGATTTCAACTGTAATTCGATCATGAAATTTAAAATTTTCGACTAATATGTACAATCTTAATGAGTTTGGAGAATGAGCATACTTCAATGATTAAATTTATCATTTGTTTTTCATAAAAGTCGTGGGACGAATTTGAACAATATTTCTGGTTTTAAATACAAATAGTTTTTAGGTTCCCTCAAACTACAAAGATTTCAAACATTGAAAGTGAAAACACATATGGAAGTTTCTAATAATTGTATCTACTTTTTGACACATATTGTTTATGTGTTCTCTTGGGGGTCTAAAAATTTGGACCACCACCTAATGCTTAGGTGCCAAAAATTCAAAACCATGTCAATCAATAGTCTAGATTTTTCTTGTGTTACAAAAATGTGAACCTTTTTTTCATTCGAGAAAATTTGTGGTATTTTTGAATGATGTTGTAGTTTAAGACTATAAGTTGGCATCATTAATTTGATCAAAGATCAAAAGGTCGTGCTCATAAATAGAAGATAGTGAAGATTCAAAGTATGAAAGATACAGTTTTTCAGAGTGTCAAAAGACACAAAATGTGACCCTAGATTTCAAAGTCATGGCCGTCCATCTTAATCTGCATAGTTTCTTCCCAATAAATAAAAGACTCTCCCATCTTAAGAAATAGTAATTGACAAAAATACAAGCTTGATAATGTCTGCAAACACTTATTAGAGATTGAGAAAACACACAATATAATTTTAATGCATCCAAAAATGTCCTATGAGTGTCTAATCTAGTGCATTGGGAAATAAAGATGTTGGCTAGTATGTTTACACAATATCAACAATAATGATCAAACTAAAGTGATGATCACCTAATCATTCTCGATAAGTATAAATATAGATTGGTAAAAATTACATATAAAATATTACTCTACCCTAAAGATAAAAACTCTATCAAACTCTCTTTGCAAAACTATTTGACTCAAGTATGAGAATCTTAATGTGTTGTATCGCTACTATCTCAATGTGCGTTTAAAGAAAAATGTAAAAATTGTTTGTTAAAGTATTTCATTTTATGTGTATTAAGACATTTTTATGCAAGTAATCACAAGTATATTTATTAATCACAGAATGTTGGTTTAAACTTGGACCACGAAACAAGTATGGGGTGAAAAATTAAACTTTGTAAAGAATATGGAGATTGTAAGAAATTTCTTCGAAGTAGAGAAGGTAAATTTGTTAGGAAACTAATAATTGTCACTGCAAATGATACAACAGTACAATGCACAGAGCCATCAATCAATCAAAAGGTAGAATGAAAGAAAGTGACTTGTACAAACAGAGAAACTTGCTGGTTGTTGTTGGGCCCATTAACGGCTATAAAATATTTAGAGGGATTTCACTGCTGTGCTGTGTTAGGGGGGGAATCAATTTATTTCCATAAAACACCCACATCTTGATAATGCATGAGCCCCACTTGACGTGCCACCTCTTCAACATCCTCAGTGTGATTAAGCCCTGTGTGGTTCCCATTGAATAAAATTACATTACATTTAATTTTTTTCTTTCTTATTTTCAATCACACAATTTTTCATAAAATAATATTACACGTAAATCAAAATTTTTTTCTCTTTTTCAACAACTCATTTTTCTAAAAAATACCATTCCTCCCATTTTCAGGTAATGAGCATCAAACAGGGGCTAAGAGTTTTTTGATGAGAAATGCTTCTCACAGAAGCCTTATCGACCCCTCACTGTAGGGGTCGGTCTCACATTGAAAAAAAAAAAAATTAGGGTCCATGTGTGTGTATGTTCTGACAGGGGTCTGTACTTGTAGCACCTCTCTTTTTTTATTGCAAAGATAGAATTTGATTGAAAAGAAAACGAATTTCAAGAAATTGAATTGCCTAGAAATTATTTTATTGGAAATTGTCAATTATTTTATTTGATTGGTATAATTTTTCGCGTGAAAAATGTTAAAATAAAAGTATTTTTCGATATTCGTTTGACTTTATTTTACATAAAAATTATCAATTAAAGGGCTAGAATTTACTGGTATTGAGAATAAAATTTGTTTCTATTGCAAAAAATAAATAAAAAAATAAAAATAAAAAATTTAAGAAAATCATTTATCTTTTAGTGTTCGTTTGACTTTATTTTACATGAAAATTTTCAATTAAAGAAATTATTTTTTTTACAATTAGGGATAAAATATTTTTCCATTGCCAAAAATTAAAAAAATAAAAAAAAAATCTGCTAGCAACCTAGAAAATGGTTAGAATTCATTTTCCTCAATTTGGTGGAAAATGACTTAGGTGGCATCAAAATGGGAAAATAAATTTCCCAGACAAAACCTATCAAACATCCATTTTTGATTTAGAGTGGAAATCAAATTCCATTTTTCATGAAATTCATGTCTATCAAACATGGCCTAAGGGTCTTAAATTGATCAAGTCGAGTTGTTTGACTCACCTACTGTCGGACTCGTTTCGATTAATCACACGAGTCGGCTCTCTGAGTTGTTCGCAATTTTTTTTTTTTAGTTTGAGCAAAACACGAGTGGCAAGTACGTGATTGAATCGTACGATGGTGTTTGTAGTAGCCAATTCTAAATAATAATTTGTTTTTTAACTTCATAAAATTGGTCAAGATTTTTAATCATTTCATTGAATTAGCTTAAAAAAAAAAAAGAAAAAAAAAAGAAAAAAAGAAAAAAGGGGCTTCGTCCAGCTCAAAAGTTCACGCGAAAGCCAACTTTATACTTGAAACTTGAAAGTTAAGAATGGATAGACTCAGCTCAGAGCCTCAGATTGATAGCCCGACTACTTATATGTTATTATAATCAAAATAAGTTCGAGCCTTTGAGGGACTATGGAGGCCCATTTGGTAAACCCAATTGAAGTCTCAACCCACTGACAAACATACTTGAAAACATTCTTCATCTTCCATGCATGCCCAAGTTTATACAGTGTAACTCATTTTCTTCTTTATTCTTTGTTCATCATTAAATAACTTTCACTTAATATTGTATTAACTTAATTATTATCATCACAATTGTTAATTACATTAAAGCGGGTCAAACGTAAATTTGTTTTTCAAATGCAAGCTCTGATTATCAAATGAACATTTTAGCCCCTCTTCAAATCATACATAAATGGCATGTTGGTGAAATGGATTAGACAACCCTAAACAATGATTGAGAACAATAAAAAGCTAAAGAACCGTGCTACTTGAACGAATGCCTATTCAATTAGGGAGCGACGTGGCGCCCCCTGTTGGTCGAGTGTCTACCGTCCAATAGGGTCTAATCCTGCATTGTGGACAAACCATAGATGCACAAGATAATCATTAGATTTGAAGGTAATAATTTGTTATCTTTGATTAGCTTTTATGCTTAGCGAAACATGCTCTTTTAGTATTGAAATGATGATGAAGTGATTTTAATCTCTTTCACTTTTACTTTGCATCTTGGAACTTTTGTTGTCTTATTGATAATTTGTGGTGGAAAGAACATGCAAGTAAGCACGTATATAAGGTACTCATGTAGCTATGATGTGTACTAACCTCCGTTTGGTTATGATAATAATCAAATTAGTATCCGAATCTGATAGTTAAAAAGTGTGAATTTGAATTAAGAAATTTGTCCAAAAATTCAGACAGTTGAAGACCCCACAAATTGGTGACATAATTGATTTTCAACCAAATATCGAGATTAGACAAAAGCTAAAACAAACTCATCTAAACTTAAAAATATCGATATTTCTTTTAAATCGGCAGACGAGGGTTGAACAAACTAAGCAAGTTAACCATATAAGATGAAATATTATTAGCTTTTTGCTGAATTGAGTGAATATGGTAAGAAATAAAGTTTGAAAAAAAAAAGATTACAAGGTCATATCATACACATATTTGATACAGATGATATCCATTTTAAAAGTAATTCTCATTTCTTCCCTTGAAGCCAATTTGCCCAAAAGTAAGGGTGATGAACAGGCCCAAATGCCAACAGACCAACCACAACCTATTCAGTAAGAATGCATATCCAAGTAAGAAACATAAAATAAAGAATTCCCATAAAATCTCATTAACAAGTATGCTATGTATTTGATTTGATCATTTCATCCAAGTTAAGCTATCAGAGATGATAAACGCTTATTTATATCTGGTTATTAACACTCCCCTTACGAACAGGATGAAGGACTAATACGTATAATTTTCATATAGTGGCGACAAGACAAAAACCTAAAATCAGTATTTGAGAGAATGGTTCATCTTTTTATTTTTATTAGGGGTTATAGCATCTATTCCTCACCAGAATTGTGAAGTGAGGGCAGGAGGAGTGGGGAAGTGGGCGAGTTCTGTTCCAATGCTCTCAAAGAAAAGCCCTGTCAAACTTTTGCCACCGATAACCGGAACGCTGGATGGAGCAAGCCATCCAATCAATCCGAATCCGATCACATTCAGATCTGTTCGAAGCCAGTCTCTTTCAAAGCTTTACAAACAATAATATGTGTTCATTAGACAAGTAACAAGTTATGTGTATTACGAGTTAGTCTTAGTTCTTGGGGATCAGTCATTTACCATGTGAACTTTCCTCCTGAAGCTTGTGCTAGCCTTAGAGGATTCTTGGCAGTTACCGGAGATTTTAGAAATCCTGAAAAATAACATACAGATTATTAAAGAAAAAATGACGATTCTACATGAAATGTTCCTAGAGAAAAATGCATATTGTGAGAATATTTCTAAGGTCAGAGACAACAGCAATTTGACTTCATTAAATGATACAATTGTAAACCACTTACACGTTCCTCACTTGTAGGTGGTTTAGTTTCCATTAAAACCTATTACGTGCTCAATTATTTGAACGGGAGGTAGCATACATGAACACAAGACATATGCCTCATCTGATATCATGTTGAACCAGTTAATCTAAAAGCTTAAGCTATTAGATAAAGTTAGCTTAATATTTATTATCAGGTGGTCCAACATTGAGCTTACGAGGCCTACTTCAAACCAGTACAAGAAAGATTCATGATTACAAGATCTTGAATTCAAATTTTGACAAGTATTAGTTCTTTCTTCAATTTGATCAATTCGTGAAGCTTGAGATTTCATGGTTAGAGATTGAGATTCAGACTTTCCTTCAATTGTATAGGCAATAATTAATTACACTAATTCTTTGTTCCACATTATATAGGTTGTTTATTTTAGGGGGAAAAAAGCATAATCAAAATATATTCTTCATTCATCTAGCAGCAGTTTATCCAAAGTGATATCCATTAACCATTGTGACGCAACCAAACAAACAATTGAAGTATCAAAAGAACATTAATTTGAACAAGGAACTCAACCCAGGAAGATAGAAAATTTATGCAACTGAAAGAACGCCATCGTGAGCCATATATATCCCAACTGGAAAGGTAAAACACAGTAAACAGAAAGCAGAGTTTACCATTGTGGCATTTGATCAAACAAAATCTGGGTACCTGAGCTGAGGTTCAGTTTCTTCGAAGAGGACAAGTGAGATGGGGAAGAAAGAGAAGAAGTTCCCAAGCCAACAACAGTTGATGAAGTCGCCATGGTTGCAGCCATTGTTTTTGCTTCTGTGTGAGGCTGTGGCTGTGCGTGCGTTTTGTTGGGCAAAAATGGTGGTACGGTTCGGGTATTTGGCGATATGTGGTGGACGAAAGGATTGTGTAAGTAGCAGATCGGTCGCTAAGCAATACCATTTTGCCATGTGGATCTGTATGGATAAAATGGCGCTTATTCTTTGGATTGTTCGACTCAGCCACCTTTTTTTTTTTTTTTTTTTTTTTTTTTTAACGAGGTGTCCCAGCTTGCGCCAGACTATATCCTTGTCCCTGAACCTCCGGCCCCTCAGCAGCTCAGGGAGGTAAATCGCGGGATGCGCCCTTGTTGGTTCTCAGGTTCCCACACGACTTTTACTCCTTCCTCAAAGGGAGCCTTCCTCTATAGTGATTAATCCACCAATCATTCCTCCTTTATTGGATCAAAGGTTCCCACCAGGAATTGAACTCCCCACCCTTGGTTCCAGAGCCCCCCAATGTGATTGTTCCGCCAACTTGGATGTGCCCCGGGGGACATTCGACTCAGCCTCTTTGTTTGGGTTGGAGTGTTAAGGCTCGAACCGAAATCATAGTTTAGACTAATTACATGGGAATAATGGATGGACAATAGCCTCCAAACTGGCACCAGTTTGTTTAGACTAATGCTACTCAAATAGGAGCTTTTGAAAAGAAAGCTCCCGTGACGGGAAATGAGGCGACACCATCTTAGCCCCCGATCTGAAATTCAAATTTTAGATCAAGGGCTGACCTCAACCTGATGAAGGGACTTGTCCCAATTCCTGTTTGAGTAGCAGGGCCCATTTGATTATATCCGGTGTAGACGGGTTCTTTGCGGCAAATGAAGACAACGTACAATGAGAAATTTCCATATGAAGGATTTATGGCTTCGGTTGTCAAATGTAGAGAATTGTGTATATGTTAAGAGAAATCGAGAAAAAAATAATTGTATGCACTTAGATTTTGAAAAGGTTTCCTATTGGGTGACCTCGATTATTATGTATTAATACTTGAGAAGATACCATTAGTGGAATGAAAACATTGACAAGTTGAGCTACAACACCAGACTCAAGTAAATTATCATATTGCCCTCCTACGCTTCTTGAAATTTCAACACAACCGTTTGCCATATTCAAACTAACACCACCGCTGACCTCGAACCACTACAGTGGCACTTATCCCGGCTAACACCTTTATAGGCCAGGAAACTCCTTCCTTACATTTTTTCTGCCACTCGTATTCCCTTTTCCATTACTCTGCATTCACGTTATACTTATTTAATATTTCTATATTTATTTGATGTGTGATTTTACTAGTTGTATGTCCAACAAAATAATGACTCAACCGAACACCGAAATCTTAACATGGAAATACTTGTCTGCCTTTTAAATAGATTAAAATTGTTCATTTGAGTTTCATGAGTTGTAATAGTATACATTTTTATCAAATTTATAGATCAAAAGTAATTTTAAATAGTCGTTTTAAGTGATGGTGTCAAAAATAGTCTTTAAAATTATTCAATAATACGATAATAATTATTCTCAATTATGATCAAAATATAATATATTTATTTTAATTTTTTTTTTAAATTTTTTCATTTTTTGCTATATCGCTTTCATGTAAAAGTTGACAAAATTTTCCTCGGGAATTTTGAAAACTTACAAGCTTATAAAATCAGCCTAACTTTGTCCAACAATTCCATCAACCCTGAAACTGCAAATTAAATTAAGGGATAATTGCAGTTGTGTTATCAAAACCTTCGAAACTTTTGCAGCTTATACCTTATTCTTTCATTTGTTGCAGTCTCTTTTTACTTATGAGCAATTGAAGGACATATGTGTTGACCCCAAAAGGTGCGCCAACAGATGCCGGTCTCACCCGCGCTTGCGTGGCGAATGTCCAACACGCTAAGACACGTGGACGGTCTAAACGAACGGTTCAAAAGGGCGTGCGAGTAGCCCAACGACGCGGGACGGTGACGTTCGGGATCCGACGGGTTGTTCGTAATCCGATTTTACAATAATTACCAACCGGTGCTCGCAAATGTATATGCAGAAATGTATAGACTCGATTAGTGTAGTGCAAGTAAATGGAGAGAGTTGAGTAAAATGTAGTTTTTAGTATTGATTCTTGCATTAGCCCTTTGACATTATACAATAGGGGTATTTATAGTGATACATATGGAATGGGGACCCTTGGATGAAGTGGCACGTGGCCTCATCTCCTTGGTTTAAACGTCTATTCTTAGGCATGAGATTTGACTTGCTAGCTTACGGCGCATTTATTGCTTGTGCAGGGCCTCCATGCTAGTGACAAAACTTGACCTTTATGCTTATGACAGACATTCCATCAATCATTCGAATAAGATCCGTGCAGGCGATCTCTTGGGAGAAGTGACCATGGAGGATGTTTCCTTGTGGTTGAGGCTCGCGCATCAACTTCGAGGCTTCGTCCATTTGAGGACCTCAGCTACAACCAAAGGCTTCCACGCCTCGGGCCATGGATCTCGGTTAGAAGCAGTTCGGATATAACCCACCTCGGCAATATGGGCCACCTCGGCAGGAATGCCACGTGGATCAGGATGAGTGGGCCACTGGCCCAGGTGGATAGGACAGGTGTGACAACACGCAACAATATGGATGTCCATTATTTAATCCAAAAAAACGACATTGACCATGTTTTAATCAATATTTAAAAGGATAAAATAATAACTTTGTACTTTTCACATAAAATATTTTTAGGAAAAAAAAAGAGATAAGGAAATAAAAGAAAAGAAAAGGATTTTTTTTTCTTCCCCAAGTCATCCCCATCCCCAACCAAACCAAATCCACACCACCCATAGTCACCACCTGCCATTGCGACCGCCATCTCAAACCGTAGCCACCACTGTAACATACTATTGGTGGAGAAATTAATTGAACAAATGCAAGGAAAAAATGTATTAACAGCAGCCAAAACGACATATGAATGCTTTTGCAACAAGTATTCAATATGTACCATGGCAAACAAAGATGTGCACTTCAATGACCAAGTCAAATAAAGAGTTGCATTACTTTGAATCGTTGGTTTTGAACTCGACTTGACCTGTCTGATCCCATGTCATAGACTCGTCTTTCTCTTTAAACGTATCAATTAAAATTTAGCCTTGGATATCTGATGTAACAAGAAGGTCATACACTATCACCCGCATATATCCCATATCTCAACATATCTTTTTCTTGATAAAAAGAAAAAAAAAAGGGAGTAATATATGGACACTAATTCAATCAAGTCTACTGTCAAGGCTCAGTGTTAGAGCACAGAAAAAGCCAACAATAGCACAATAATTTAGACCCCAACAAAATTCCACCGACTTTGTCTTCTATGTACTTTGTCGCTGCTTGCACAGTCATTTCTTGTGTAGAATATGTTTTTAAATAGTAAATTTTTGAAGAATATATGGTCAAAAAGTGAGAAAAATATTTAAATTTATTTGGAAAATATTTTATTATAAAAATGTGTGATTAAAAATAAGTACGAGAAAAAAAAAGTTTTGACAGAATGGTTATTGATGGTGACATTTTACAATATCCCCGATCAGTATATCCCGAGGACTAATTTTGGTAAAGTTGTAAATCCATCTGTGGCGTCCTCGAGCATGTTCGTCCTCGAGACACAAGGCCCGACCACATCTCCATGACGCTTCGCATATTGCAAACATGTGTCCTCGGGCATAGTCCTCGGGAATGTGCTCCTCCTTACTGCTGACGATTGTTCACCCTTTAGAATTCCTACGCAATTAGGAATCTTAACTCCCACAAGAGTCCTATCTCACGCATAATTCTGGAATTCGACCAACTTCTTAACCATTCAGGACTCCAACAGATGAGGACATCCAGCTAGTTGAGTCCAATTAGGAGAATGTCACTTACTACTATAAATACAGAACCTTGAACCATTATTCAGGTACGTTTTACATTGTTCTTCAGCACATAGCCTCACGCATATATTTCCCTTTCTGACTTAAGCATCGGAGGGGCGACGAGAACACACCTCGTTGCCTTTGTTTCAGGTATCGGAAGATCACGTTCGTGCTCATCATCAGTCATCAAGCTCGGAAAATCTACAGGTACGATTTTTGGTAGCATCATTGGCGCCGTCTGTGGGAAGCGCTACCAAAAGCCATGGTAAACACGCGATCAGGTCTTCCGCCCGCAAGCTCATCCGCTCCAAACCAACCCCCTCCTGAGGATATCCCTGTTCCTCAAGAGGAATCATCAGAAGTGTCAGAGCCCCAGCCGGCAGTCGTCACTACTGGAGCCTTTGAAGAGCTCAGGCAACAGGTCGCCACACTGACTCAGCTGCTAAGTCAAAGAAATTCGCATCCATCACCCACACCGGCACCCCAGGGGGGTTTTATAACTGATGCTCGAGCTCGAGCTCATGTCCCTGACAATGGCGGAGCAGGGGCCTCGGGTATACCATGTGACCTCGGCCTCGAGATCAGTGACCATGGAGTCCGGGGAACTCGCTAGGATTATTCAAGAAGGAATTGCGGCGGGCCTACTTCAGGGCAATAAAGGGACGACAAGATTCAGTCCTAATACTCCATTTACTCCCGAGATATTAACATTCCCCTTGCCGGACAGATTTAAGTATCCTAGGATCAAAGAGTATGATGGGACCACCGATCCAATCAATCATCTGAACATATACATGGACGTCATGAATTTACAGGTCGCACCAGATCAGGTGATGTGCAAGGCCTTCCCGCAAACCTTGACGAATGCCGCTAGGGATTGGTTCTCAACCTTAGAGTCCAACTCCATAGCCTCATTCTCGGATTTGGCGGACAAGTTCTCCGCTTTCTTCGCATGCAGCAAACGCATCAGGAAGACAGCGGCTTCCCTCATGCAACTTAGACAGGGGCAAAATGAGACCTTACGTGACTTCATGACCAGGTTCAACAAGGAAAGACTTCAGATTCCCGACCTACACATAACTGCAGCGGTTTCTGCCCTCACATATGCCATAAAGTGTGAGGCCTTCAGGATGTCTTTATCCAAAACTCCGCCAAAGACAGTGACCGAGCTTCTTACCCGAGCCGAGAAGTACATAAATATGGAGGAAACACTGAACCCGAGAAAGGTTGGACCATCCCATGACAAGATGGAGCATAAAAGACAGCATGACCTGAACCCTCGTGAAGAACAGCATCGGAAAAAATAGAGACGGGAGTTTCCCCCGATGCCGTTCATGCGTTTAAATACGTCAAAGACCAATATATTGATGGAGATCAAGGATATGAAGGAACTGAAATGGCCTGTCAGAATGAGGTCACCACCCGAATCCAGGGACATGAACAAGTACTGTGAGTTCCATCGGGATCACGGGCATACCACGGAGAACTGTAAGGCCCTGCAACGGGAGATTGAAGCCCTTATTAAAAGAGGACTCCTGAGCTCATACGTCGGTAATGACAAACGCCCGAGGAATGATCGTGGCAGGGAAAAAGACCCTGAGGCAAAAAGGGATGGTCAACCCACTGCTGGAACCATCAATATCATCATTGGAGGTATTGCCTCGGGAGGAGACTCCAA